AATAATAAAATTGATATTACCTAAAAATAAAAAACAACATTTATATATTCGCATGCAATCTAAAATATTTTTCTTTTTCGGTCAATATTGTCCATAATGTGATGGGACGCGAGCATTCGAAGCAGCATCGAATTCGGGTTCGTTAATAAAATCCGTTCGGGGCATCAATCCACCGACCGAAGACAACGTGGAATCGAGCGTGATAAATAAAGGAGGGTGCTCGGATCGGCGACGTGGCGCTGGGATAGATACGTCCCTTAATAGCAAAGGTCGAAAACCTTGTCGAGTTGACTCGCGGGATAGCGCGCAGACCTACTTCCACGTAACGTCGATTCCTTTTATTGATTCTATTTTTGCGAGAAGCCGAGAGAAAGAAAGTAAGGGAGAGAATAAAAGAGATAGAATGCTCACCACGATCACCGGTCATATCGGGATTCCGTGCGTTACCGATTCGGTCATTCATCGAAAAATGATAACACCCAAAATTAGGACGTCATCCAGATTACCCGGATGCTACATGAAATGTTAATAATAAAATACTCATTTTGAAAATGGAACGGTTATTTTTACGCAATATTGCCTACAAAATACAAAAAAATGGATGTCATTATTAATTAATCGAGAATCGATATTCGGTAATCCATTTCCAACAGGAATATTATACTAGTCAAGTGGTTGATACGATAATGCTTCCGGCAATTACGTATATCATTTTTCTAATGGGATATCATCTTAGGAAACACACACACAATACTAGTAAATATCATGAGCGATATTGGATTATAATATCGCAATCAAGAAAGATGGAAAACGAACGCCATTAGGCACTGGTTATAATTAATATTAAATAATTACGACTTTGGATACAAGAGATAATCTGTCAAAATAAAATTACTGTAAATTTTTAATAATAAATCAAATTAAGATTTCGTATTCATAAGAACCTGTAAAAAGATGTGCTCGTTTCAGAAATAGAAGACATTCGTCAATTTGAAAAGTGCTTTAAGAAGAAAAGAGAAAAGTGCAAAATAATCGGTCGCGGAAACGATCGGTGGACAGAGATCGTAATTAGATTCGCGCTGGTGAACGGCCGATGACGGCGCGCGTTGCTGGAAATAGAAAGTAACGACCGAACAATCGAAGGCTACAATCGATAGCCTGTAAAGTCGGACAGACTAGCAACGCGGGTGTAACGGACACCTCGCTACATTAGACTTTAATTCGGCCGCAGTAGTGCATGACCCGATATGGTCAGACGCAGCCCTCGTCTGGCACCATCTCCGCGACGCGACGGAAGGCTTAGATTATCATTGGAAGATAATTTAGCAGATAAATGGCCGGTTTCTCGTTAAAATAGACGAGTAACTCATCATAATAATATCCATGTAATTATTATTATTGCATTATAATTATTATAATAAAATTACAATCATATGAGCACCTGTTCATGTAGACTATGTCGACTAATATATATTTTTTGTATTTTCTCCATTTTCCTACTTTTTATATAAGAAAATAATTATCTAGCGAGTTAACAGAATTTTATCATATTTGATATTATATTATTTTTATTATATTGGATTAATGAAAGAGATGCAATTTTTAAAAAATGCAAAAATACTAAAAACTCGTGTTTTAAAGCAAATGAATTTCAAATTGATGAATTTCGCTTTCTGTGTAACACATAAATATTATAATAATAATTCTACAGTTGATAATTTGAATCGTTTAGATAATAGTTATCCATTAAGTGATGAAATATCAAAGCAAGAGCTCTGTGCTTGCCGACGCTTATTTAATATAGGGGTAGGAAATATTACCGACGGGGATAGCTCGATTGAAACATACCTATCGACAATGTCTACTTTATCGAAGAGTTTATACCGTTTGCTGCCCTTATCGCTTATAGTCAACTCTTGCCGACATTACGTTGAAGGGTAAAAGGGGTTAAAATAATGTCGGTAAAACAGTTTACGTGCAACTAGCATAAAATCTAGAGGTAACTTTCAAGTGATAAGAGATATGTTCTACCACTGATATTTCTTGGTATACATATATTCGTATTATCTCCCTTTAAGAAAAGCATAATAAAACGCGATGGCTAATGCCATTAATCATCATTTATATAAATCTTAAAGACCTACACGCATATTTTATTTATTACTTTTATAATGAAAACATAATAAAGTGAGATTGCAACACTTGTCACGATAATTAATTAGAAATGTTTAATAGTATCATTGATACTTCTGATTTATTATCATAACAAATGTTATGATCTACATTTTACTTATGTGGAATAACCTTAAAACATCTTAAAAACATTAAAATCTTTTAAACATATTATATGCCTTAAAAATATTTTTAATCACTAAAAATGACTTACGTTTTTAGTGTTTATAGTGTTTATATAGCATTGTATGCTATTTAAGGAGCTATTGATAAAAGAGATTTCTTGATATAAATAAAAAAATATTATAATATTTAATATTGAAGAATTATAAAATTTAAAATTTTATAACAAGCATAATTTAAGCAAAAGTCTCAACAAAAATTTCTTAAAAAGTTTTTAGCTTCACGTTGATGATAAAATTAATAAATATCGTTCTATATTCAATCTGTTAACTATTAAATATTTTATTAAAACTACCGATAAATAACATAAGATTGAATTACGAATAAGTATTTTCCGAAAGTATTTCTGTAATACATGTTAATTATCATCAAATGCAATGCATAAATTAATAAGAAGAATCTTATTAATTATTTATCCAAAATTTCATTTTTCTTTTTATAGATTTCCAAAACTTTCCGCGTAAATTTCCTGAATGTCTTCTACGTGTTGGTAACTGCTCACACATTAATTAAAAGAAAACTTCAAGTAAGAAAACAGAGAGGAAGAACGATCACTCACATAATATCGCCAAGCTTGAGTCGCGTCTGTATAAGGGCACAACTCTTGTGATCGCTGGTGGTGACAGCCCTCCGTCTCCTAGCGGCATATCGGGGCATCGCATCCAACTGCGTTGCGTTTCCATCGGTGTTTCCGAGACCACCACTGGTCCCGGATGTGGCACCATACCCGATGAGGCCCACACTTCCACGCACCAACGGATTACTGCCACGCCGACGCGTAGACACGTGTCGACCTCCCACGCCACCCAGCATCCTAAAAAATATATCAATTAATTAAATCCAAATAAACATTATATATATGATTATATAAGATAAAAACCTATAAAGAATCCAAATATTTCTTCTCTGTAATCGCAGCTTGAATTCTGAGAAATTACAATTCCTAATTTAAAGATAAAATTAATATACCATTAATAGATATTCTTAATTGTTATTCTATGCCTCTATCGTGCTAACATTCTGTTTCAAAATTCTGTTTTCAGAATTTATACAATTTAATAAAGTTTTGGTTCTTTCTCAAAGAGTTCTTGATATTTTTTTTTCTCAAAGATATTATTACTTTATTTCCATATAATTAATGCAAGGTTTTTCAGAAAAAAAATTTGACTGACATTAAAATATAGAAAATTAAATATCGATAATTTACAAAATATCTTTTTGGAAATTTGATAAAATTTAAATTGTTTAGAAGGTGTCTAAAGATTTTTTATTTTACGCTTAATCATCATAACTTTTTTATTTCAAACTTGATTTTCATAAAAAAAGCTATCAAAAGATACTAAAAATCAAATCAATCCTGAGTAAAATAAATTCTGTTATGACTAATCCTCATACGATAAAAATGTAAAATTGATACTCTGTATCTTATTTTTTACATTCAAGCTCTTTCAAAAAAAGAGAAAACGTTATCATGATTATTTTGTATACAGTAATATGTCGGAAACGATATCGCAGCAAAAATAAGATAGAAAGAATGACAAATACGTAGCATTCTTGACTGCAAATTATTATATTTTTATCTGATTTCAGTTTCGAAATTAGGGTCGCCGGTCATTAATCAAGACATGATACTGTACATCAGATTTAAATCAGATGGTATGCATAAATCACATAACGATAAATTGTCCTGGAGTCGCCTTTCTCTATTAAAAAAAAAATTACAGAGGGTAGATTAATGAGGCATGGAAAAAATTCAACGGAGCATTCTTTCGTTAATTAGGTTACGTTGATTAATTTAATCCTAATCTCTGCTAGCGCATCAGTGGCTGCCAGTAGTCACGCGATCAAACATCTATTGTGCCCATCTATTTTCTGATACACATGTCGTAGTCGTTAATAGTCCTTTTTCCTCTTAACAAATCGGTGATGCCTAACTAATTTTCGTCGAATCGATGATAAAAAGTCAGTCGTATTGAATACGAAGAAAAAGGAAAAAAAAAGAAATCGTTGTTTTCGACATGACGGTACAAGCCGATATGAATTTATGCTATATTCGTACGTTACACATCGTCTCTCGGCAACGTGAAATATTCTATTAATTACCCGTACCCGTATCTTGCATACCTATTGGCTTCCTCATGGCTTTTCAAATGTCATGAGCGTGGATCTCCTTTCCATTTTTACCTTTTCTCTTCATTTCCTGAAAACGTCTGTCATGCGCGCTGAAATGATGGAAAATAAAGCGCCACTGCTATCTAGATATTACAAACTCCGATTAATCATCGTTCGAACGCGTTGAGTTCACTACCCTCAGCGAACCGGAAATGCACAAAATTCACGAATATCTACCGTGTGAAACGCATCAGAAAAGATGTGAAAGTAATACTTTCGCGGTAATCAGTACCTCAATACATAAAAAAGTCCGCAAAGTATGAAAAAAAAAATTGCAGCAAAATGTTACTTTTTTGCGAGTAATAGATATTTTATATAATTCGATAGATATTTTAATAAATATGAGAGACGCTCCCTTTATATATGTTTGTCCTTCATAAATGTTTTAGTAAATAAAGTTTGCGAAATTTTCTATCAATATCAAATTGATACTTTAAGAGATGACTACAGTAATGAAAGATATTCGATGAAATCAGCCGTAATGAAAACGCGGAATTATGAATGAATCGTAAATATTTTAAAGTAGATTTTGATTACAGAAAAAGTACTAAATCATTCGCGTTACATGATCATTATTGTTTCTAACAGTATCAAATTCAAAACTTTATTATGGCGAAGTTTATCAAAGTTTCACATCAAGCACATTACGCTGACGCACGTAGAATCGTTGTATATATAAGTACATATTATGGATAGGAAGCATATTGAGTAGACAGTTTACATATTGCGAGTCTTTCTCCAAATAACGGTAACTCAACTCAAACTTAGCTACAAAATTCTAATTTTGTGGAATGTCACAGAATTTTGCGTCAAGATAGATATCGCGAAGAATAATATTTTTTAGGCGTGCGTTAAATTAAAGTCTCATTAAAATCTTGTTTGAAATTAAACGAAAAAGGAGAGTTTCAGTACTTCGACAAAATAGAGATTTGTGAACGCGACAATCTCCTCAACAATTCTACTAAGATTAGAATCAATAAGAATTAATTATTTACAGATTTTAATATGTTATTCAACATTATTAAGATCTTTTCGAAGATGCGAATAAGCATCAAAAATTTGTTGAATTGCTAGTCAATTTAACTCGTGATATTACTACGGTAGTTTAGTAGTTTAGAGTTAGCGTTTTCAAAAATCGTTATATACTATACGTTATATACTACATACATAATATATAAATTCACACAAGAATCATACAAACATTTAGGATCCAGCTAGACCGGCTTTAAGGCTTTGATTTCTATATTTTGATTTCTATAGTTGTGTTTCTATAATTTGTGTTTGTATCACACATATACGATTCTATAATATATGATATTGCCTACTAAAAGTTGTTAATTAGAAAATTTATGACTCAAAGATATTTTATATTTTACAACGAGTCTGTAATATTCTCTTTTCGTGTGAAATGCGCTCCCCGCATTAAAATCACAATTTTCCGTCAATATCAATTTCTTACGGATTGAATTATGACGCTAGATATTCGTGGCGCCGACAATTCGCGAGCGTTAACATGCGTCAATTCGCGCACGAATTATTATCCGGTCCGGCTTTATCGAATGAATAAAACAGAATTACAATCCATTATGGGCACACCCACGCGCACTACGCGCATCTCAACACGTCGCAATGCAACGTTGAAATTTCACGCGAACATTAGTGTTGCGATATTATCGTTCGTGTTCAAAAGTAATCAATTTATAAGTTTTTTATGCTAATTCTCCCTTTTTCTCTTCTCTATTTCTCTTTCAAACTCACAGTACATCCCATGAGGCTTTTATTTTATCCTTCTACTGAATCATCTTCATCTATACATCAGCCATTCATTCGTTTATTCTCCACATAAATGGAATAAAAGTCAATATGAAGTCGAGAATAGATCTGTTGTATTATCCTATTCTCTCTTGTTGTTAGTTATAATATAGATACAATCAAGAATAACGTGCATTGACAATACAATCGTACCTCTCAATAAAAATTTATGAATTAAAAATAGTTTATACATTTATACAATTACAAAGTGGAAAATATATATCATTTATATAATTTTCCACAAATTTGATTGAAGTTTTCTGCTCACAAAAGATATCCATTTCAAGTACAATTTTATTTTATTATTCATAACATTATGTAAACTATTATTATTAAACTGTCATTATTTACTTAAATAAATTTAACAAGACCTAGAAAATGAGTTTTGCAATCACATAAGCTTGTTCACTCTTCTCGTTCTCTTCCACGTCCTATATCACTATTCACGAGAGCTTTCGAGGCGGTTAATGAGAAATCGAAGACAAAGCGCGCGAAGGCGTATATCGACGCGCTTACATAAACATTTAGGGAAACATGTAGTAGCTAGTCTTCCTACACGCGGCGCCGGTCGAAATTTTAGGGTAGCAACCTGTTGCTAGGCACCCCGGGGAACTCTTATCCCACCCTTGCTGTTACCCGACAACCGCTGCCCTATTCTCTTTTTCTTTCTCTCTCTCCTTCCTCTAATGCCTTTAACCTCCATCCTCTCTCTCTCTCTCTCTCTCTCTCTCTCTCTCTCTCTCTCTCTCACCCTTTTATACTATGTGCATACTTTTTCTTTGTACATATGACTCTTTCGTTTTTTTTTTTTTTTTAGTATAACAAAACGAATATTGCTCAAGACTCTCGTCGACTCTTGGACAAAATGTCTAGTGGAGGATCATTTTTTGTTTTTATTTCATCCATCGTCCTTTTCATTTCTCTATTCCCTTTGTCCAGTCTACCTCTTTTCGCCGCAAATATTTCTGTCGTCGCTCTTTTCATTTATCTCAACCGAGCTTGAATTTTCCAAACCTTTAGTTCTCTCATTCTTCAAAGTACTTTTTGTTCTTCCAGGTAGCAAAATAATATACTTCTATTCGAGCATTCAGATTCTTTCATGCACCTTGTCTAAATAAATATTCAGTATTTAATTTAAATAATATCCGAAACAATTTGGAAATAGAGATATATAATATTTTCATCGCAAATTTTTCTATCTTTAGAATCTTATCTTTCTCCTTCTTATGATAACTTCAGACAAATTATTAGATAGATAATAATATTAGATAAATTATATTGATACGTAATTATAGTTTTGAAGTATTAAACATAAAATTTATATCCAGAAATATCAAGAAAAAAAATACAACTTTATATAACTAAAATAAAAATTGTTATTATTGCACATTGCATTTTTATCACTATCCCAGTAAATATAAAGTAATAGTAACATAAAAATGTTATAATTTTACACTCAACAATTAATGTTATATAAAACACATTACATTTATGTTGCTAAGTGTAAAATTATAACATTTTTGATGTTATACAGTTTGATGTTATTATTAGTTAACTGGGATCTGATAAAATAACTGGCAACAACTCGTTTAGCAAAGAGTTCCAAAATGTTTGTAATCATTTTTTTTCGCTGATTTCTTTCAGTAGGGTACCATGCCAATATAGAAAATCTAATAAAAATTCAAAGGAATCAGTCGACTTCTCCTAAAATTAATTTCACTCCGGAACCGCTCCTCATATTAAGAAGAGCAGAAAGAAGGTAAATGATAGTAGGGAATCCCATTAGAGAATATCGTGTGTAGAATGAAAAAGGTGTGAAGAAGGAAAAA